CAATATCCAGGCACTTTCCTGAGGAAGCAAAAGGCAGCAGAAGGGTGTGAGAGAGATAAGAATGCTGGTATTTTAATGAGCATTTTGATGGATGAGTCCATGGGCAGATGGAGCAGGAAGCATTCCTGAGACTCCTCTTCCAGTGCCTGCACACCAGAACAGAAATAGACAGAAAGTTTTCCACGTTTTTTGAGCTACCTGAAGTGTAGAACAGAAAAAGGACACCAGCAAGGAGATCCACTGCCAGCTTCAGCTTCCAGAGGGATTAATGGAAGAAGGAATTTGGATAAATGAACATTTTTAATTTCATTGAGGTTCTGCCATTTAAAATTTGGGACTGTGGTCATGGGAAGGGAAAATCACAATTCCCATTCTGCCTTCAGGGATCTTTTGTGCTCATTGTCTGTCCCTCCTTCTCTCAGGCCTGTCCATCCATGGGATATTCCTGCTGTCCCCTACTGAAGGCCAGTTCAACACTGTCCTCCTGCTGATTTCATTTTGCTGATTTTCACCCTGCAAGTATTTATGTTTTCTTGGGATTCATTTCCTACGGAAAAGAAACGCTGAACCCCAGGAAAAGAAACCACTGGAGCAGGTTTTTGTTCCATGGAGCTGACAACAGATGGCAGTGAGACACCAGCTATTCGTGCAGAGGAGCAGCCACAGAGGGAGCTGTGCTGGAGACACCTCTGCACCGAGGGCTTCCAGAACAATTAATGCCGTTTTCTAAATCTGTTCCTCTGGTTTAAAATGTGCAGCCAGGGCTGGAAAATTCAGAGCAGTCTGCAGAAGGAATTGAGAGCCAAAGGAACAGATGAAATGAAATGTTTGTTCTTTTGAAAAAGCAGAACAATAAATGGTCTGTGCTGCAGTCCCGGTCCCGTTGCTGGTCTGTGCTGGGAGCCCTGGGGACACCACGTGTGCTGTGAGCCAGGCCAGCCCTGAGCTGCATGGAACAGCTTCTCCCACACTCCCACAGCAGGAAAACCCAGCAGAGCCGGCTCTGGGGGAGCTCCCTGGACGCTGCTGCTGGGATCCAGCACAGATGGGCTGCAAACACCTCCCCTGCTCCGGTGCTTCCATCAATCCTCGGCTGCAGGAGGTGCAGAATGATCCATCTGCTCTCCTGGAATCCTGCAATGCTTGGGTGGGAAGGGACCTTAAAGCTCATCCAGTCCCACCCCTGCCATGGGCAGGGACACCCTCCACTGGCCCAGGGTGCTCCAAGCCCCATCCAACCTTGCCTTGGACATTTCCAGGGATGGCACAACCACAGCTCCTCTGGGAATCTGTGCCAGGGTCTCCCCACCCTCCCAGGGATGAATTCCTTCCCAATATCCCATCCATCCCTGCCCTCTGGCACTGGGAGCCATTCCCTGTGTCCTGTCCCTCCGTGGCCTTGAACACTTCCACACACTTTGTTTTTGTGTAAGTAAAGACAATTCTTCTCCTCTCTCCCAAATACATCAAACACCCTTATCACATAAACAGGTGATAGGAGATAGTGTCAGTGTCTCTATCTCCCAGCATGCCCCAAAAACAGATTTAGGCCCCAGTCCACCCCACCAATATAATCTCTCCCTAAAGATTTGCTTATCTTCATTTCTGGTCTGCAAAGGCAGCAGCAATCTGGTGCCTGATATTTTGGTGTAGTGACCATGGAGTTATCTTGTGAGGAGAGTACACAGACTGGAAAATTCACCATGTTTCCTGCTGGGATTGAAATATTTCTCCTGGGATTAGAATCCCCCCAGCCCATTTTCTGCTTCTGATGGCCTTCAATTTGTGAAGCAGTTTTGGAAGGAATGCCTTTGCAGTGCAGGGCTCTGGCAGCAGCCAGGCCCTGGGGACAGTGCCTGAATCCAAAAGGTCCCAGAGGAGCAGAGAACAGTTTTTATTAAGGGAAAAGTTGAATAAGGAAAGAAAACAACACAGAAACAATGGGCCTTCAAATCTTTTTCCTATTTAGCATCCAAAAATAAAGAGATGGGACAAAGCTAAGGGACATCTTTGCCTTGTTTCTGAGAGGAACTGCTCCACATTTTGCTCTTTGCTGGTGACAGACCAGAGGCAGCGGGTTCTGACTGATTCAGAAGATTATTTCTGCATCAGGAAGATTTTGCCTGTTACTATTTTGTAACAGCCTGTTACAAGATTTTGTCCGTAAAAAGATTTTGCCTGTTACTATTTTGTCTGTCAGCCCCCAGACACATTCCCTCAGACTACACAGCCTCCTGTCAAGTGACAACCTCCCCCAGATTATCCAGTTTCTTTCCCAGGTTCTCAATAAACCAAGCAGTGTTTGACAGGGAAGCCAAACTGTAACTTTCCAACAAGAGACTTGAAAGAGAAAACAGCACTGGAAATGTTCAATTTCAATAAAGACTTTGGAAAATTCAGGCATGGGGGGAATTGGAGGAAACAGAGCAAGACAGATCACTGAAAATGAGGCACTGTCCCATAGAAGATTCAGAACAAAGAGGGCAGGAATGGATGGGACACTGGGAAGGAATTCCTCCCTGGGTGGGCAGGCCCTGGCACAGGTGCTCAGAGGAGCTGGGGCTGCCCCTGGATCCCTGGAAGTGTCCCAGGCCAGCTTGGATGGAGCTTGGAGCAGCCTGGGCCAGTGGAAGGTGTCCCTGCCCTGGCAGGGGTGGGACTGGATGAGCTCTAAGATCCCTTCCCACCCAAACCATTGCAGGATTCATGATGTGATTCCAGGATTTGGAGAATTGCAGAAAGGGATTAGAAAGGAGAAGAAGGAACTGCTCTGTCTCTAAGCAAGGAATCCACCAACAGGTGACCGTGATCTCTTCTCCATCCCTTCCCAACACTGACATTGCATGAAACATTTACAAAATGTATTTTAATCCAAGGATTCCCCAGTGCATTTAGGCACTCACCATGACAGCCTGGTCACACACGTTCAGCTGGGGCTGGCCTGGCACCAGGGCAGCCTTGTGCTGCTGGACCAGCCCCGAGATGCGCTCCATGGCCCGCTGGTATTCCTCACTGGCAAAACTGTAACAGGAAAAGCACAGGGGTTACTGCTGGGGCTTCACTGTGCTGTCCATCACCAGGCTGGGCCACAAGGAAGAGATGTGGAAACATCCTGCCAGCTGCCCGTGGGTCTGTAGGGAATGAAGTGCAGGCTGGCAGGGTGGGGCTGCGCTGCTCAGGGCACCGAGGATGGCAGTGGCTTGTCCTCCCCAGAAATCACCTGCCTCCAGACCAGCTCAGCTTTCCAAACTGCTGCTCCAGGGCCCCAAATGTTTCCTCCTAGTGCAGATCTGCTAGGAGCTCATGTGGATTCCCAAGGGAATTGTCTTAGCAAATAAAAAGGCATTTCTGGGTTGTCCTCGAGCTATCCCTTAAACGATTATCAGGGGAGGCTTCCCAGACACAGGACAAACGTTTTCCCAGACAGCTTAGGACAGAAATTTCCCAAAGCAACTCTTCCAGTGGGTCCCACCTGAGGTCAGCAGCTCTCCACACTCAGCTCCCCCTCTTCCAAGAGCTCTCCTGGAACACCTGCCCTGGGTGGAGGCGTTTGTTGTAGGGAAGCGAAGGGAATGTCAATATTTTGTTTTACAAGAGTGTTCTCAGGAAGGGTTTCAAACACAACCTCGGGCCAGTTAAACTCCACAACCACCAAGGAAATGAACTAAAATTATGCAAACAGAGAGGAGAAGAATAGAAGGGCCTTGTCCAAGAGGAGAATACCTCCCCCATTCCACAACACGCTGAGGTTCTGCCCCATCCACATTTTTCCATTACAGTTTGATTATTCCAAGCTGGGAGCCATCTGCCATGCCCCAAACCTGGTTACAAATGAGCAGACCCTGACCCACCCGATTCCAGCAGGTATTTGTGGAGTGGCTCAGGGTAGGCACCACCAATATCTCAAGTATTTCTAAAAAGCAGAATTCCTAACAATGATCTCTCTTTGTCCATCACCTTAAGAGTCACTTAAAAAAAAACCACCAAAAACCCCACGGAGAGCGGCAAATTCCTTCTGAAGATAAAAGAAACAATGCAGCTGGGTCCTGACCTCGGGCTCCCTCTGCTCCCAGGCCAAGCTGGCCACCAGCCCCACACTCCAGCTAATTTCCTTCTTTGCAAAACAATCACATTTCGAAGGCCAGCGATGTGCCAAGCATTTCCAGTAAACCCTATAAATATCCCAGCTCGGCAGGCAGCCAGGGGGAGGCTGATTGTGGAGCTGGGCTGAGCTGATAGAGAGCTGGAAGGGAATGGGGGATGAGGAGCTGGAGCTGCTGCTCTCACACCCAGCTGGCTGGATCCTGGTGGAGAGAGCTGAAGGACCACCCTGAAATCCAGAGTATCCTGAGAAGCTCCCGAATTTCATAGAATCTGACAATCCTGGGATGGTTTGGGTTGGAGGGGATTTAAAGCTCATCTCATCCCATCCCCTGCCATGGGCAGGGACACCTTCCACTGGCCCAGGCTGCTCCAAGCCCCATCCAAGCTGCCCTTGGACACTTCCAGGGATCCAGAGGCAGCCACAGCTGCTCTGGGCACTTGTGCCAGGGCCTGCCCACCCTCACAGGGAGGAATTTCTTCCCAATATCCCACCTAACCCTGCTCCATGGGGTTTGGTTTTCTTTTCTTGACCACGTGGATATATCCCCATTCCATGGAGTTGGATTTTCCTGCCTTGACTCCATGGCTCAGTTTTTCCTCAGATATTCCTGTTCAGCTCCACAACACGCCCCAAAATCCCACATCCGTGGATTTGCAAAGTATTTACTGACTGCACAGGAGTTAAAACTGCCTGCAGCCCTAAGCAAGTGAATTTTGAGACAAAATCTGCAAGAGTGCCTGGAATTTGCATGTAAAATGGGGATAATTACCTCATGGTAATCAGTCTGAGCTGTTAGGGGAGCTGGGAACCTCTCCTACCTGGAGTCCCATCCTTTCCTGGAGTGCACATGGAGAGCTGGGTTGCAAGGCCAGCTTTGCTGCATTCCCTGCTGCAAAAAGAGGTGGAATGAGCTGTACAGGTGTCTGGGCACCATTGTCTGTGAGGATGCAGCCCTGGCTGCCTCCGGGGCGAGCTGCATTTCGTATTCCAGTTGAGCAATCCCGGGAAGGAGAGCTGGGAATAGCACTGCAAGAATGAGAGGGTGAGCAGGTGGTGTTGTGAGGAGTTTGCTAAAAGAGATCCCCCAGCGTCCATGAAATTATTCCACGCTCAGAACGAGGGAGCAGAGTGGACAAAGTCCAGGGTCATTACACTAATTGACACTTTACCTCCGGGAAGTCCCTGGAGATGCAATCAGGGCTGGATTGGAGCTCGGGGTCCCAGGCACAGGTGTGGGCTGTGCTTCCTTCATTTACTGTAATTGTGCCTTGGCAATCTGCTCCCATCCTCCCCCCTCAGCTCCTGGAACCTGCTCTGCTGCTTAACCCCAGCCTGCCCTCCCAGCAAATCCAGCTCTGCAGGGAGCAGGGTTTGTCTCACACACAGCTAAAACTCCGCTCTAATCCTCTGCTCCTTGGGCTTTCACCTTCGGGGATGATTCTCTGCCATCCTTAAATGCACCCTCAAATAGATCAGCACCCAAACAAATCCAGGAGCATTCTCAGCGGGATTTCAGGATGTTTTACACCTCGTCCTGCTGATCCACTGCGCGGTGGCTGTCCTGGGAGTGATGGGGCCGTGGTGTAACTGAGAGGACTGGAACAAAATGGGAATGATAGATTATAAAAAATCCCATAATGTGATTCACAGAAACCTGACAAAGGGCTCTAGACCAGGTTGGACAGGGCTTGGAGCAGCCTGGTTTAGTGAAAGGTAATGAGCTTTCAACAGGATGAGCTTTAAAGGCCCCTTCCGATCCAAACCATTCCAGGATTCCATGATTTTATGAACAGCAGCCCTCAGATTGATATGAAGTTATGGGAAGAGCATAAAACGTGGCTAATGATACTTTACTTCCTTCTCCCCTGGAATTATTTTAATTAAAATCATTATTTTTAATTGTGAAATACACCCAGATTCTGATAATTTGATTTTATCTGTTATCAGTGCTCTGAGGCTTTGCAGCACCGTGGTATCCAAGTCTTGATCTTGTCTTATTATTCAGTCTTCCTCAGTTCCTCTCTTCTATTATCAAGTTTATTTGCAATTTAAGGTCTGCACAATGCAGGAGGCTGAGACAGGTTAGGGGCTCTGCTCTGGAATTACTGGAGAGACTCAGAGGAGCCAGAGGAAAACAAATGAGGAATCAAAGGGTGAAGGTGGCCCTTACCCCAAGTCACCTCTGGTCCAGCAGCATTTTGGGGCCCAGATGCATCCCTGGAGGTGTGAGGGACATGTGGCCACTGAGCCACAGGAAACCTTGGAACTCCAGAATCATTCAGGTTGGAAAAGGCCTCTAAGATCGGAGAGTCCAAGCTGTGGTGATCAGCACACTCCTTGCAGCAAGGACATGTGATGGTGCTGATCCTTCACCTGCTCACCTATTTCCACAGAAGTTTTCCCTGCCCAGCTCCCAGAATCCTGCCTTTCTGCTGGATTTCACTGCCTGGAACCCCAGGACTGAAATGGCAAAGGGGATAAAGGTAGAGTGAATAGTAAAGCTTTCATCTGGGTGTGAACAGGTGACAGAAGTAACAGCTGTCCACTGATCCTCCTGCTGGTTGCTCCTGTGCTATTCCTCAGCTTTCATTTTCAGTGGTATTCCTGAGCCACAATTTATGTTCTGTGTTCTTCAGGCTGCTTTCTTGTGGCTGCAGCGTTGTCTGGTGCTGTCTCTGAAGAAGATGATGGCATCCACTTCAAACTGCACTCTGCATTTTTTGCAGCTGGTTCACGCAGCTTTTTTTTCTGCCAATATTCCTTTTCATGCAGCATCACTGCACCCAGAACACCTGAGGGCTGTGGGCTGATGGAGCACGAGTTCCAGCTTGGTCCCAGAGACTGGGAAAGGGCAGCCAGGGACCCAGATGTGTTTGTGTCCATCCCCAGTCTCCAGGCTGATGATTCTCCTCCACAGGGGGATTTTATTTCCCCCTCTTCCCTCCGAGCTGGCTCTGTCCCACCTTGTCCCACCTTGCTGCATCCAGCCCCGGCGTGGTTGGTGCTCCACGGTTTTTATTGCCACCTCTGAGGCTCCTCAGCCACAGTTTCCACACTTTTAGTGTCACCTCTCCTGTGGCAGCTGTTAATTCACCCCTGCAATGCAGCTGGTACCATTTCCCTCTTTTCCAAGATGAGGAGTCAGCATCTCCCCTGGGCACAATCCTTGCTCTTTGCTATTATTCCCATTTTTCGCCCTGTTTTGCACCTTTTCTCTCTTCCCCACAGCCAGGTTTGTGCCCTGAGCACTAAGGTGAGACTGGCAACTTTTCTATCAGATCCTTTTCCCTTTAGCTTCCCTTCAGGAGCTCCTTCCCTTTTTTTCTGGCTCCATAACACTGCAATTACCTCTCTGATGATTTCCTGAATTTTCCATCTGCTCGAAATAGGCACTTGTGAGCTCTCTTCTTAATTAATGTGTTCTAAAATCATTATGTTCATCAACCAAGCCTTATCACTTCCATTTTCTTCCATAATAGTAAAATCCATTGCCCTAAGTAAAACACAGGAATTTTGATGTTCATAATTCAATAAACTCATTGCTCAGAGCAGAAGCTGCTACAAACCTGGAGTAACAACAAGGTGTGAGCAGGCTGTACTTACCCTGTCCTCACTTGTTATTAAGCTTTGCACCTCTGGCTCAAACTGGCAGCATTTCAGAGATTTCTGTTATAAATTCTTTGGCTTCAAAACACTTTTTCTACTTCAGGCTGCATTAGGTATTTTAGTAACTGTAGTTTTAGCTGTGCCAGCTTTGCTTTTTGTATAAATATATATATATATATATAATAATTGTGTTCTTCTTGACTGGTAATGCAGTATTTTAGTAAATATCTGTATAAACAATAATCTGACTCAGATAATAAAACTGACAACTGCTTGTGAAGATGGTACCAACAGATAATTTTACTGAATTTGTCACACTGGAGAAACAAGTTCCCTCTGTGGTACTTAGCACACACACACCACAACCCAAAGATAACAGAACCTGGCCAAGGAAAAAAACCTATCAGATCTCTTAGTTCTGTATTTGGATAAATTTGGTAACAAGGGCAGTTATTGCATCCAAGGAGGAAACAAAGCCCTGCTCAGACTCAGGGAAATGCTTCTGCTTTCTGTGCTGCCCAGCACACATTCTTAGTTACAGCTGAAAGTTGACAGCTCTAAAGAGAGATTTTCTGTCCCACAGCCTGCACTGATCTGGGTGACAAAAAGGCACAAAGAGTTCACTTCTCACCACTGAGGATGAGGTAACTCCTACACAAGGGGCTCCAGGAGACCTGGAGAGGGACTTTGGGCAGGGGATAGAAGGACAGGACACAGAGAATGGCTTCCCACTGCCAGAGGGCAGGGATGGATGGGATATGGGGAAGGAATTGCTCCCTGGGAGGGTAGGCAGGCCCTGGCACAGGTGCCCAGAGCAGCTGGGGCTGCCCCTGGATCCCTGGAAGTGCCCAAGGCCAGGCTGGATGGGGCCTGGAGCAACCTGGGCCAGTGGAAGGTGTCCCTGCCATGGCAGGAGTGGGATGGGATGGATCCTTTAAGGTTCATCCAACCCAACCCATTCCAGGATTCCATGATATTTCAAGGCAAAGGAGCAAACACAACCGTGTCCCTTGGCAGAAGATGGGGGGCAGGGGGGCTCCAGCCAAATCCAGAGGGGCAGCAGCAGGAAGAGAAGTCCCAGGAGTGCTGGGAGGGGCTGTTCCCAGAGCAGCTGAGGGCAGGGATGCAGCACAGGAAGGGAACACACGGGCAGGGTGCTCAGCACTGCCAGATGTGTCCCCAGCACGCTGACAGGACCTGCCTGGAACTGCCTGAGCGGTTTTTCACTGCATGGAAAGAGCTCCTGTGGGAGCTCCTTCTGCTGGCATTGTTTGCAGGCAGGCTCCAGGAAATGCAGTGAACAGTGTGAGGAAGAGGAAGGACTTAGCCTGCCTCACCAAGAATCCCAGGGAGCTGAACATGTTACCTGCTGCCTCTGGGTCTTGCAGCACTTGCATCTTCAGGGATCCCTTTAGCAGCCACTTCAACTAAGACTCAAAAGCTTTGTTTGATTTTTGGAAAAATAGGTTATTTCTATTCCCTCTATCTTCCTAATACAGAATAACAATCATGGAATGGTTTGGGTGGGAAGGGACCTTAAAACTCATCTTGTTCCAACCCCCATGAGATGAACCAAACAGTGGTGGGCTTGGCAGGGCCAGGTTAATGGCACGTGATGGTCCTAAGGGTCCAGTCTTAAATATTCCCTGAATTTACAGAATTGCAGCCTTGAAGAGCTGTCTCTGCGTGTCCTGCACGTGCAGTGTCACCACCCTGCAAGTCAGAGGTGTTGCTGCAGGTGACTGAACTGCTGATTCCTGGGATTCCCTGGCTCTGAGATCCCAAATATAGAAGCAGCAAATCCCTCTGGAGGTGCCATGTGATGCCAGGCCCTCCTGAGGAGCAGTGACACCCACTGCTGGTGGCTGTGCACGTGGCCCTGCTCCAGACTCGTGTAAATCAAGAGAGATGACAGATTATTAAAATCACTTCAAGGGAGAAGAAAAGGCTGCACTAAATAAGGAATAAATGTAATAAAAAGTGAGCAGAAGCAGGCAGGGAGAACAGAGCCAGCACGTAGGGACAGACAGATGCAGGCTGGGAGCAGGATGCTGGATTCCCTTTGGAGAAACATTAGTGTCGGGACTCCCAGCAGGCTCCCTGCCAAGGGGGATAATTAAGCTAAATAAAAATACACACCAGGAACAGCTCCACAAATGAGGATAATTTAATTACCACATTCGATAGAGGAGACCCACTTCCCATGAGTTTTCCATTGTGACCAGAGAGGAGACAATAGAAGCAGAATGTGCTGCAGAAAGGAAGAGTGGTTTGCTAAAAAGAGGGTTTCTATTAGGGGCTGCATAATAAACACCAGCACAGCTCTCCATAATCAGGTCATAATCTTGCCATAAAATTCAATCAAAGCAACAGCTTGTGAATATCCAAAAAATCAATGCAACCATATGAGAAATGATTGCAGTTGGAACCCTGGAATTTATTTCAGTGCTCACTCCATGGTGGTGGGAAGGAACAGTGGAATCACAGGTGCTGCAAACACCTCTGAGGGGAGAGCTCCTCTGCCTCGAATCCAGAGGAAACACAAACAGTATCACAGAATCCCAAAATCACAGAGTATTTAGGGTTGAGAGTTCAAGAGATCATCCAGTGCAATGCCCTGGCAAGGCAAGGTCACCTGGAGCAGGTGACAAAGGTGACACACACAGCAGGCAAGCTACAGCTCAGTTACTGCTACCCATTTTTCTAATTTTTGGAAAAAGAGATTATTTTTATACACTCATTTCCTAAAACACAATCACAGAATCCTGCAATGGTTGGGTTTGAAGGGACCTCAAAGCCCATCCAGTCCCACCCCTGCCATGGGCAGGAACACCTTCCACTAGCCCAGGCTGCTCCAAGCCCCATCCAACCTCACCTTGGACATTTCCAGGGATCCAGGGGCAGCCCCAGCTGCTCTGGGCACCTGTGCCAGGGCCTGCCCATGCTCACAGGGAGGAATTCCTTCCCAATATCCCATCTCTCCCTGCCCTCTGGCAGTGGGAAGCCATTCCCTGTGTCCTGGCACTCCAGGCCCTTGGGAAATAAAGCAGTTGTTAAACTGCCCAGCTCTCACCTGGAATCCCAGCCCGGCTTAGTTTCACTGAGCTGTATTTACAGCCCTGGAGCTGCAGCTGTGCTTTGTTCATTAGTGCTGGAATGCAGTGGCAGCAGAGCTCCCAAAGAGCTTTACCCACTGCTGATGCACCTCTAAAGTGCTCTGTTAAACGAGAGAAAATGGAAATATTTTCCCTCCCCTCCTCTCTCCAGTGAAAACACTCAGTGGACAGCACAGGCTCAGTTCCTCTGGAAGGAATGGGGCGAGTGTGTCCACTCAATTATTCAAATCAGTTGAGTAATTGTAGCCCTGTCAGCTCAGGAAACATCTCTGCCTCTCCAGGCTGCTGCACAAACTGGGCAGGCAGTCCCAGCAGCATTTGTTCCCTCTTGATTTATTTCCACACTCTCCCTGTCAGAGCCACTGGTGAGGGATGAGGCTGCGTGTCGCTGGATTTGCTGCAGGGAGGGAGGGAAGGAGGGAGGTGGGGACACCTTGGGAGCATTTTTGGAGGTGGCAGGGTTCTTTGTGGGCTCTGCTGGCTGCTGACTGCATAAATCCTTGCGGGAATCTCTCAGGACATGGTGTGTGCCAGAGATAAATATTACAATAGCAGGCTTAGAGGAAAATGGATTCAGACAGGCAGGAGAGCCCGAGGAAGGAGAAGGATTGGGCACAAAATCCTCTTGCTAAAGACCCTCTGGAGAAGTTCCCTTAGCTGGGGTAGGAGACTGGAAGGTTACCAGTCTGCCCTCCAGAGATTCCAGCCACACAACATTGGCTGTTTCTCCTCTGGCCCCAAAACTCCCAGCTCCAAGGCACAGCTCCCCAGCAGCTCTGTTTGAATGTGCTGCACTCAGCCCTGTTCTGTCCAAAACATTGGTGTTTTCCTGCTCCCCAGGGGGCTGCAGCACACAGAACAGGAACAACCAGGCTGACAAGTCCATGTGCACACCCATCTCACCTGACCACCTGAAAACAAGGTTTGGTCCTTTCCTCCTGAGAAAAAGCCAGCAGGAAAGCCATTATTTCCCAGCACAGCTTTCTGAGACATTTTTTAAACAGATTTCAAGAACTAGCTATGAAAGCAAATAAATTCTGAACACTGACACTGCTGAGTTTTCATGAAACCCCATGAGGTGGCTCACCTTAATGGGTACTTCTCACCAGGATCCCTGCCCAGGTGGAAGAGCAGGGGCAGGACAGTGTGCTCCTCCTGCGTGTGTGTTGTCACTCCATCCACACTCTGGCCAGGACAGAAATCGATGCCCTGAAGGAAAAAGGAGAGAGGTCATCAAAGGTGATGCAGGGCATGCAGCAAATCTTGAGTTGATGTCGCTTTCTCCAGCAAAACACCAACAAACCTCAAGATTGTTTTAAACCAAGAGTCCACTTCAATCTCCAAAACACATTCTGAGCTGCTGGGGTAAAATAAGGTGATCAAGTGGTGTTGCACTGACATAAGAGCTGAAGCAAAGCCGTGCATTCTTGTCTTATAAAAATATAATCCAAATAAAATATTCATTAAAATGAAATGGCAGAACAAAGGACAAAGAGGTGGAAGCATTTAATCATAAAAATTCTGTACATGGAAAGGATTTTCTGGCTGATTTTTTATGGCTTTGGAAGGCTCCAGGAAGATCATCTGGCACTTCTGATCAAAACCAAAACCCCAGGACAGACATCCAGACACCCTGAGAGGCAGCAGGCACCTGAAGGATCAATTTCTCTGAGAAATGAAGCAAATCTGGTTAATTTTATAAAAACTGATGTGTTTTCCATTTGATTCATGGCAAGCTGGCATTGAGGGACTCACCTGGGCATGACAGTGGGGATGGAAGTACTGCAGGAAGTGGAGACATTCCCACATTCCTGTCTCTGACCATCCGTGGGGGCACAAGGTGGGATTTTCCCTGCAGCAGAGGTGGATTTGAAGGGCACAGCTATTGGGAACCTCCTGGGGAAGCAGCTGGGAGCAGCAAGGGGTTAAGAGCTCACTGGCACCAGCCCTGCCAGCTCCCCTCCCTCCCCAGCCCTGATCTGCCAGCTGGGAGCTCCCTAATCCCTGGCCTGCAGCCTCCAGGGCCACCAGAGCCCATTTAAACCCCAGCAAGAGCCAAAAAAGCAAAACCACTCATTTCCCTGGGCAGGCAATAAAGCAGGGCCCCCCAGCCCAGCCCAGCCCAGCCCAGCTCAGTCCCAAATGGACTTGTTAAAGCTGGGTTTTACAGTTCCAGCTCCCACGCTGTTCCTCACAATCCCAAAGTGCCCCGAGCCACGGACAGAGACATGGAGAGCAGGTAAATGGGAATGTTTCAATGCAAGTGGGAAAGCAGCTGTAGCATTTGCTTCTAAAACAAACTGAAAAGGCTCTCTACAGATGTTGGTAGGATTTGATTGGCAAACAATTTTCTAAAAATATCCCGTGTTTTTAATGGACAGCTGGTCAGTGGAGCAGTTAATATTCTGCTTTTCAATAAAGCAAGAAGTTTAGAAGCCCATGAAATCCCATTTATCTGCACAGGGCTATAGATTCCTGAATCACTGACTGGAAAAATAAGGGAGTTGCTTGATAGGCTGGAGTGGCCCTACCAATAATGGACTTTAAATGGATACAAAACTGATTGACCTTCCCACCCTGTGATGCCACAGGCCTCTGAAACACACAGGGAAAAGAGATTTTTGTGTGGTTTTTTGGGTTTTTTTCCCCACAAAAGGACCAGTTAATGAAAAGGTATCAAAGCCTCCATAACATCCAAATTATAATTTGGATGCAAATCAAACAAGCAATTTAATTAAGAGCCTGCTAATTGGTACAATGCTCCTCGGCTGCAAATGCTTCAGTGTGAAAGATTTTCGTCTCTCGGGTGTTTGTTTAGACATTGCTCTGTTTCTGTTTTATCTTGTGTTTCCTAGGAAATCCTTGTAGCCCAGACTCCAACAAACAATCCCAAAGATTCCCAGGAAAGAAAGTGCTGGGACAATTTGCTTGATGCCACCAGCCCAGAGCTGTCATCATAATTTAAGCTCTCAGTGCCCTCTTGAAAAGAAGTCTAGTGGAGAAAACTCAACTAAATAAATAGGTAAATAAATAAAACCCCCAAAATACCATTTTAGGACATTTCTAAGGCGTTCCAACTTTATCCCTGCAAATAAAATAGAATATTGCTATTTTTATGTATTGTGTGAGTCAGTATTCAACCTGCAGAGAGAGTTTCAAGGATTTTTCTATTCATCAACAAATGAGCAAAATAGAAGATATAAATATATTTATACAAATATATTTATACAAAATTATTTATTTTGTATAGGTAGGTTTGGTGATGTCTGGAGCTGGAAAAGAGCCAAGAGCTGCCTAAGCCTGTCCTACCCACCAGGATAACACCACCCAAATCCACTCTGCTGTTATCCCTGAGAGCTGTTTATTGTCAGACTGTTCACACCAAGGTGCAGGGATCAATAATTCAAGCACATTCCTAATTTTTGTCCCTGCTCCCTATCCGGTGCATGGAGTCCCCATCCCGGGAGGTGCTCAGGGAAGGACTGGATGTGGCTCAGTGCTCACACCTGGGGATTGGACACAGCTTGGACTCCATGACCCTGGAGGGCTTTTCCAACCTGCAGGATTCTGGGATTTACAGGGTTCACTGATCAAACACAGCACAAAGGTCATTCCTTGTTTGTGTTTCAGCAAACTCTTGGAGCTTTTCTGCTCTGTCACAAAAGCTTGAAAGCCAAACCAGAAGTTGGAGCATCTCCTGCCTTCTAAGGGAGCCCATACAGAGCATCAAGAACAGCTCAGCTCCTGCCCAGCACCACCACAGAAACCTGTTTGCTGCAGAAGAGATTCCAACAATCCTTTCTTTCAATTATTCTGGTAAAAAAGTAGCATTCCCTGCCCGCCAGGTGAGCCTTCCAGAAATCACCATTCCTGTCCTCAGCAGTCACCTAGCCTGGGTTGTTTTTCCATCCCTGGGACGCAGCAGCCTTTGGTTGCACAGCTTTAATTTCCAGAGCAAATGGCCCACAGATGCTGTGTCAATATAGACATGAGACAAACACAGCCGGTTGCCAGTTTGGGCTCCCTGCCAAGAGATGGAATCACCACTTGTGTTAACGGGAGCCCTCTGGCAATTCCTCAGCCTGGCTCCAGCCCAGCAGCTCCGGCTGACAGGAGCCACCCCAGCCCAGCTCTGCCTCCTGCTCCGGTCTCCTCGCTCCACCAGCACCACCCAGGGCACCAAACCCAGGTTCGTGCTGCGAGGAGAAAAGCACAGCTGTTAATTAAAGCCTGAGATGTCATTTCTTGCCGATTGCCACGACGCAGGTGAACGGCGTCCTTGCCCTCCCGGCCATTCCCGGTGAAATCCTCCTTGGGATGAGCAGTCAGCTCCGAGTGTGGGTGCCAAGCTTCAACCCTGTGCACCCAAAATTGCTCCTAATGTGTTAAGAGGCTGGAAGAGCCCTGGAGATGGGCAGCGCAGCGAGCTCCGATCGATGCCTGGTTCATGTGCTCAGAGGACCACAATCAAATGTCATTATTTGTGAAGTTCTACTTGACTTCACATCCCCGGCGCAGAAAAGGCTTTATCGATCCCTTCACGTGGAGGAGAAGGGCAATCACAGAGCCTGACTGGAATAACCCCTTTGGCATTTTGCATTAAAACAACAGCGGCTGCTGGCAGCCTTTAAAGTCACAGGAGCACTCGAGGAATCCCACCGAAGGCTCCCAACAAGCTGACAGCACAAAGGTTGATGTTATCAGCCCCTCTCCCGAAAGCAAAGGGTGTTTTCCAAGTTTTTTCCTGTTATTTTTTTTCCCCTTCTTGCATCAGTGCTCTTGGGAGGTACAAGGGCTGTTCTCTGCTGGGTACTCTTGGTGGCAGGCAGAGAAAAGCAAATTTCCTTTCTCCTGCTACCTCCCATTCCTGCCTCCTCTGTGCAGCACTAAATTAGAAAATTCCTGAGGACTTGCTGCCTACTCTCATAAATTTATAGCAAACACCTATTTTTTTTTACCCTTTCAGATCCCTACTTTCGAAACACCCCAGCATTTTACAGGTGACTGCCAGTAGAAGTCCTGTGTGTTTTCACTGTCCAAGAGGGATCTCCCCAGGTTTATCCTCCCTTTACTCCTGCACACGTGGCTATTTTTATCACTGCTGATTTCTGCTACAAGAAAAAAAAGGTGAACAACAATGGAAAAGCTTTCTACCCACCAGTCCTAAAGCACCAGGGACTCAGCCCATGTGCAGGAGGGAGATTTTTCTGCCTCTATCAAACTGTTTAAAAATACAAACACATTTTTCAAGTCAGCCTTCCTTTCATCTCTCTCTGTCCCATTTATCACCCCTTGAATGTCAGAGATGTCAAATTATGTAAACATGAGCCACCTATATAGATGGAAGGCAGGTAAACAGCTCCAAATAAGCATCCTCTGCAATCCTCAGGGAAAATGTCCCACAAAATCCTTACTCCCCCTTGATTCTGTGAAGTGAGCCTTCCCCTTATGCTTTCAAGAAACCACCCCCTCAAGAATCAAGAAATCCAGTTAATCCAGCAGAAAAGGCAGCATCAAGGTATCCTCCAGCACTGAGAGAGAGACTACAAGACTTCCTGACAGGAGTCAGACTAGGAAAAAAAATTTGCTTGGGGGTTAAAAAATAAACAAACAAAACCTGGGCAGAACAGAACAGCACAATTCATCTGTGTGTCAGATGACAAGTCCTAATCCCAGGCCATAAGGCAGAGAATGCAGACCAGTAAGGGCATGCTGCTGTCATGGGACTGCAGGATGACTGTAAACCTGTGTGCTGCCTGCATGGGATGTTTCCAGAGTAAATATTCCGAGTGCCAGATGGAGAGGAGCCTTCAGAGCCCTGTTCTGCTTTGCTGGGCTGTGCTTTCTGCAGGCTGTGTCTCCCTGGTACATTTTTATTTGTGTGTACATCCTTTATTACTGAAGCAACTCACACCCCAGTCAAACACAGCTTTCCAGGTGAGGGGCCACATCCTCCCTCACCATCCTGCTCACCCCAAACAGACCCAGGACAGGCACCAGCTCCCCATTTTCCAGTATCAGCATTGAAATGGGGTTCTGGCTGCTTTAATGAGGTAATCTCCTCTGAAAGTTGAACAAAATCGTGGATTAAACCCAGGGCAAGTTTTCTCTATCAGCAATTTCCCACACAGTCAATTACCAAGGGAATTCTGAAAGTGAAAGGAGGGCTGGCTAAACCCTGTCTGTCCAAATCATGAAATATTCACCTACCCATAAAACAAACCTCTTCAAAATGTGCAAGACAGCTGTTTTGCCACATCTGGCCAACTTCAGCTCTCTTTCCAATGGATGACAGGACAACCACATATTCCAGGTCTGAGTGGGGACCTTCACACAGAGAGGTTCCTATCTGGAAGTCTCACTGGATTCACAATGAGGGAAGACCTCTAAAGCTCATACAATTAACAAATCCTCATTAGCTGGAGTTCTACTGGGATGGCAAGTCAACCTTATTGAACAAACAGGCCAACAGTCAGAATTCCAAATGCCACAGATGTGCATGGATTTATAGTTGTTTTTCAAATGGAATTAGCAAACAAAGTGGCCTTTTTGATTCCAGAGTCCAATATCAACACAGCTGGGAAGCCCAGTCACTGAAAGAGGGAACTGTGTTGTAAGGTGAGCTTAGAAACTCTTCCAGCAGGGCTGGGAACTGTGGAACTGCTCTGCATTCTGATTTATTTCTATTTTTAAACTTGCGAGGTTTGTAATTAATGGCTCGAGGACATGAGGAGAATTGGAACAAATCTCAGCCTCAGCTTCCTCTGCATGTTGTTAATGGCTGCTCTGGCCACTAATGTGCTCCAATTTTCCCCACATCAAGCTCATGTGATCCAAGCTGCAGGAAAGAGAGTGGATTTGTAATCGTCTCTCTGATGTACAGGATAATTGCTGACTTTTATCAGACAGCAGTTAAACAAAGACTTGGAAAGGAATAAATATTCCTTAATTGCAGCACTGCCACTGCTCACAGTGGGAGAGCCTCTGGAAGGAGTAGCTGGTCCCCATTACCACTGTTCCACACTCAGAAATGTAGGAATGAGTTGAGTTCCATGCAGGGGTTTGTTTATTTCCCAACTGGAAGTGTGGGTATGTGCTTTTATCACCACGGAGAGCAAGAATTCCTGTGGGAAGATCAGGAGGCCACCCTACACCCAAACACACAGAGGAGCTCCCAGTCCCTCCCACCCAGGGAAAACCCTCCAAGGGTGATGAACAGGTTTCACTCACACACAAGACAAATGAATGATCTCATTTTATCTGTGTGGAATTAGCACTGAGAGCATAAAATACATTTCTAGAGCCAACTTTCCTTTCCTCCTTGCTCCCTGTAAAACAAGGTTTGACTCCTGAAGCACTGCAGTCTGAAAAGAGACAAACACACACATTTACAGCCCTGAATGGAAATGACTCCCTTGGAGCTGACGCTTCCTTCTACCCCCAGGACATCCCAATGAAAGAATCCCTGCACTTTTATATCCACAAATGTCACCAGCATTTAGTTCTGCACCTGTGATGCCTTGAGGACCTTCCATAAGTTAAAAAAAAACCCACAAAAAAGACCCAAACAAACAAAAAACAAGAAAAAATACACCCAAAGAATCAAACAAAAAACCCCAAACCATAAAAAAAAATAAATCATGCAAACAATCCCTCTCCAAGGCCAGGCTGCTGTCAGGATTGCTGAAAACTTGGCCTTAATGCTCTGGGTTCCTGTCTGAAGGGATCTGCAGCAAGGCACACGTATGAAGCTGCCACTCAGCAAATGCCGCAGAGTTTGGAGCCAAGAAAGACACAAAAAGAAAAGGAAATAATAGTGCTTAACATCTAACTGTGAGGAGATCAGCCAGGAAATAAATAAAATAAATAAAATGTTATACATAGTGTGATGTGGGCTCAGGGAAGTGCTGGTAACAGATTAAACACCTTTATTTTGCTGTTTTCAACCACTGCTGTATTTTCCACTATGCCTTTCCTACAGCTTTCCTTTTAAACCATCACAAACCCAACAAGCTCATCCCAGTCCCACTGGAATAGCTCAGGGCAGCAGGTGTTTTGTGGCAGGAATTTGGGGAGATGTGGTCAGTGTGGCATCAGGCTCCAGACTTTCCCAGTACCACAGAATATCCTGAGTTGGAAGGGACCCACAAGGATCAGGGAGTCCAACCACAGGTGAACATCCAAGAGCTCAGAATTCAGCAGGGAAGGTTTAATATTAAGGGGGATTAAGTGCTGCTTAAAGGGAGCATCCCTCAGAACAACTTGGAATTTGCTCATTTTCCTCTCTTTGTCCCCATTTTCAGGAGAGGGAGACTTGAGTGTTTTTTTAGGATAGCAGAATTATTTGGGTTAGAATATCCTCTAAGATCATCGAGTCAAACTGTTCCCCTAGCACTGCCAAGGCCACCACTGACCCATGTCCCCAAGTGCCACATCCACACAGCTGCTAAACAGAGGGATTGGGACTCCACCACCTCCCTGGGCAGCTGGGCCAGGGCTGGACAGCCCTTTTGGGGTAGAAATATCCAACAGATATCCAACAGAAACCTGCAGAGCAGCTCTGGTAGCTCTGAGGAGACTGAAGCACGGTGACATCCCCCAGTTTAAAGGGTGTCTGTCCCCAGGATCCTGGTGACTCCAGGACAGGTCCCTGTGCCATTACCTTGCTGTGCTCCTCCCAGGAGTTGCTCCAGGTCCAGTAGTGAGCTTTGTAAAGCCCAGCTCTCACTGCCATCAGCTCGTTGCCACGATAATAGAAAATGGGCCTGGAAGGAGAGCAGAGCTGCATGAGAAACACCAACAGCCCTGGCCCAGCCTCCTGATAAGGGCCACAAACCCCTTAATGGCATCCCACTTCCCATGTGGATATCAGGCAGGAACAGGCTGCCTCCTAATAGTCTCCTCTGCAAGGTTTTCAATTAACATTTCTTAAAGTGTTCATCAAGTTGAGAGCTCACACGGTGCAAGAATGAAACATTATCCAGCTTGGCTGCCAGTGATTGTTAATCCTTGAACTCTCGGCCCCTGGGATTTCCTCTGGAGCGTGGCGGTTTCAACGTCAAATGGCTCTCAAGTGCCTGGCTGGGAGGGAAAAGTGGGATTCACGGGCTCTGGGATGCTCAGGCCCCTGTTCCCACAGCTCTGCCACAGAGCTGGCAGTGTCACACAGCCAGGGTGGCCAGGAGGACACCAGATGCCGGCGTGTTCTGGATGACATCTTTGAGAAACTCCACATGGAAAAAAACCTGGCAGGCAGACATGCTGTGATGTTTAATTCCTCTCCGTTTTTTCCCCCCAAACCTCACTTTGCAGCATGTAAACACGCTGCTAAAGCTGCATTTGTTCCCAGAGGTTTCCCTAATTAATAATTCATCCAGGAAATGCATCGCACTCGCTGCATCTGTGATGTTCCCTGGGCAGCCCAGCAACATTCCTGCTGGTTTTCCCAACAAAACATTCCTGGTCTGTTTGAGGGAACAGCACAAAATTTTACTGGAAGGGATATCTGCAGGAGAGGGGGTTGATCTGTCAGTGCAGCTCTTCTCTCCAGCTCTTTTGGGCTGCTGACAGGACACAAGGGTGGAGCTGTTTGTCACTGTCAGGGGGAGCCTTTGTCTTTCCTTCTCAGGTGCCACTCCAAAAACGACTCACTCTGGTGACACCACCTGGAAAAACCAGTCCCTAAATGCAAGGTGAAATTTAAATATCCCTGTCTGAATGACAGGAGTGGCCTCAGAGCTCTTTTAGTCTCACAGAAACAATGAGCCTCCCTCCTTTGTCACCAAGAGCTGTCACCAGGAACAAAGGGAAAACAACTTGGTCCCCAGGAAGAAGGGGAAGCTGCTCCCAGAAAAGCTCCTTCCTGCATCCTTAACACACCTGGAAGTGAAATAAAGGCAGCAAGAGAGACCTGCCAAAGTGCAGCACCTGATCTAAGCCAGTGCCATCAACAAAACCTCCCACAAATATTCCACACAGAATCCAGTTTCCTTTTCCTTGCCATCAACAGCCAATATCTGACCAGTTATTATGTGTCCCCCTGACTGAAGGGTTTAGGCTTTTCCTTTTAAAAAAATAAGTGTTCTATTTCTAAGAAGGATTCCAGCTTATACTCAATATTGTGATATAAATGATTTCTTTCCCCCCCATTCACTTTTTTCCTTTTTAAGCTTGAAAGAACACAACAACTGCATCTCCTGGAAAGTTTTTGGTGGGCTGTGAAAACTTTGCCCTGGTCATGTCTAGGGAAAAAAAAAAAAAAAAAGAAGAAAAGAAAGAATGAAAAAGCCACAACATGCTTTGAGTGACTGTTACTGTAATACAAACAAGGGGTTGGTGACTGCACTGAAATTCCCTTTTAAAACAACAAAGGAACTTTCCAAACTTCCAAGAAGATGGGCCAGGCTGTGTTTGAGGAACCTGCAAGGCTCCAGTCAGGTAATGCTCAGGTGTGCTCCTTGCTCAACAGGCACAAAAGGAATAAATGGAATAAATGACTAAAAGGAATGTTAGCATTCCTTTGCTAACAGCACAAAAGGAATGTCACAGCACAAAGACTCTCACCCAACAAGGAAAAGGGCTCCAAAAATGTTTTCCATGCTTAAGTTTCCTTGCTATCTCCCAAAGAATATGACTGTAGTCAGATTTCCCAGGCTGCCAAATTCCCCACCAAAATCCCAACTCCAAGACCTCTCCTGACCTCTAATGCTTCCAATAAAATATTTGTTGGCAGAATTTGCTGTCTATCTTGGTGCCTGTGCCCAAGAGCTGACAGTACAAAAGATTCTGGGTCTTTCACCCAAATCTATCCCTGCAGAAGCATTCCCAGATCCAGGACCTTGGGAAGAGGATTTTCCTGATGCTTCCAGTCCCAGCTCTGCCGCGGGACAAGGACCCAGCACGCTCTGGGCAGCTTCTGCAGTGATAAATAATGGATTCTCCCCTAGCCAGGCTCCAGTTCTCAGGCTTTTATCTCCCCTCCTGCCATATGTTGTTCCAGGGATCCCTGCTAACCCTGTGACATTTTCATCTGTCCCCAGACTCCACTGTATGGCAACATGCCACATGTCAGGAATTCCCACCTCGGCTTGTTCCAGCGGAGCAGGAGCGCAGTGGGAAGCTCTGCTGCTGCATCCATTCAGTTTCTATTAAATACTCTTGAGCTGCTGCTAAAAAAAATCAGCCCCAAATTTGGCATCCCTTCAGCCAGGAGCAGGGCTGGCAGCTCTGGGATAATCACTGACCTGTCAATTAGCTTGCCCTGCAGGATGGCAGGTAAAAGGTCGATGCCATCAATCTGTCTGTCACTGGGAGGCTGCAGATTCGCCAGGGAGAGGCTGGTGCTGAACAGATCCATCACACTGCCCAGCTGATGGCTGACCTGCAACAAAAAAAAATCAACACAAACACTTTTCCAAAGAGCCCTTCAGGAAAATCTATATGGAAACAGGTTCCCTCCAAAGCTCCCTGAAAACACTCCCTTTACACTGCTGCAGTCACCAGCAAACTCCTCTGAAAACAAGAAGGCAAAGGAAATAATCCCTATTTCTCTGCCTCCAGGGAGAATTTGCATTTTGATTCTTTCTTTTTCCCCATTTTCCTCTCCCTCTCCTCACTCCTGTGTATCCCTTTTCCAGGAGTGTGTTTTCACAGGGCTCAACTTAATTTAGCAAATTCCAGCTCATTTGTGGATTGAAAAATCAGCACTTACACCACGGGGAAAAAAAGTCCTTGATTTGTTTCCCTTCCCCAGGTCATCTCTGGAGTGCAGAATACCCTGAGAGAGTTCCCAGAAAGCACAGGGATAGATGGATAATAACAAAAAGAGCCTGATGACTTCATCTGCAAACCATTTCCAACAATTCAAGAACTATAAAGTTGTGGTATTTTTAGTCCATATTTTAATAAGGGAGAAAAACATCTGGATTTGGCTTCAATGGAGATGTGCAAGGGCTTTTTTTTTTTTTCCCCATTTTTCCTTACTTGGAAGCCATACTCATCTCTCTGCTCTTAATTATTTATATTTTAAAACCCTACCAAATCTGTTCTGCCTGATTGTTTCTGAGTCTTTGCTCCCTCCCTGATTGTGGGAGCTGTTGTAGGGTATTTAATTAGTCAGTGACACACTCAATTAAAGCAGATGCTGCCAGCTCAGGAGCACCAGGATGCACCAGCACAAGATGTGACAGGGAAAGAGCATTTTCAGCCACAGCACTTGTTGGGAAACAAGAAACCATTGGATACAACCTCACAGCTGTGAGTACCAAAGCACTTTCTGACTACAATCCAAGTCCAGTCCCAACAGAACAATGTATGAACTATCAAAGACTTTTTACCTCTGATTCCTTCCACTCACAACAGACCCCCAGCCTCTAAGCTGACACAAATTATTTAAATGCAACAAATGATGACATGATAAACGATTTTTTGTGAGATGCTGGCTCAAAAAATTAAAGGGAAAAAAAAGGGATACTAAACCTTGTATTAGGAGGCTGGGCTGAACAAAGTGAACACAAAGGAAGAATTAAGAAATTAAAAAAAGAACTGGAGAAAGCAACATGCAGGGGCCTAATTACAAGTTTAACATTACAATATCACATTACTTGATTACAGTAATTTCAATCTTTAATGGCTTTCATTCATCAGGAGGTGTTGGCAGGAACACATCTTATTAAAGCTGCATGCAAGAATCCTGCCACAATTCCTTGGGAGGAAACAAAGTGCAAAGCTTGAAGCACAAGGGGAAACCTGGCTGTGGAAATCCTTGGGAAAGCAGCTGGACCAGCTGACCAAGACCAACAGGCCCTCGAGTTCAGGATTTATCCATGGCCACTGCCTGGGAAAGGTCCTGCTCAGCCTGGCCCTGGGGGCAGGGAAAAAGGGAGATGCTTCCCAGAGAAGCTGTGGCTGCTCCAGCTCTGGAAGTGCTCAAGGCCAGCTTGGATGGGATTTGGAGAACATTTATTCCTTATTTTAGAGCAGCCTATTCTTCTCCTTAAAATGATTTTAATCATCCAGTCCCACCTCCCGGCCCAGAGCACAGCATGGTGTCCAGGCACTTCTGGGATGTCTCCTGAGGAACCTCCACACTCCCTCTGGGCACAGAGGAAAGAAGCTCTGCCTCATGTCCAGCTGGAACTTCCTGGGATCAGTTCCTACCCATCCCTCCTGTGCCATGACTGGGCCCTGGGAGCAGAGCCTGGGTCCTGCTCTGTGCCTGTCCCTGCACAAAGACATGGCTGAGGTGTCCCCTCTGTGCCTGTCCCTGCACAAGGACATGGCTGAGGTGTCCCCTCTGTGCCTGTCCCTGCACAAGGACATGGCTGAGGTCCCTCTGAGCCCTGTCCCCCCAGGCTGGGCAGCTGCAGCTCCCCAGGGCTGAAGTTCAGGCCATGAGCAGCCCCTGGTGAGCTCCTCCCTGGGCTCATTCCCACCTGCAGAGCTCCAGAAGGAGCAGCTCCAACCCCTCCTGCTCCCCCCACCCGCTGCAGGAGCCAGCCCCTGGCTGAGCCCTTTTGTAATCAGAGCTCTCACAATTTCTCCATCTAATCCAAAAGTCACTTTTCCTGTTGTGGCTCCGTCCCAGCGCCTCAATCTTTTGATAAGAGGCAATCACTGACCCTGGGCTCGTGCCTTTAATGTCACCTCATTTATCCAGAGCGTGGGGACAATCCTGGGGAGCCACCACGCTCCCCTTGTCCTGGCCCTTATTAACCAGCACCAGATGTAGATGACTCTCTTTAATCATCCAATTACGTTTCTGGTCTCAGACAACATTTTTGCCGTGAAGCAGAGAAAACTTCTTAAGGAAATTAAATGCCCATGCCACAGCCACTTGGATTTATCTGTGCTCTGCAGCACCACACTGAAGAAGGAAAAAAGGGGGGGAAAAAAAAAAAGGTTAATATTTATATAAAACTTTGAAGTATTTTCAGAGAAAAAATAAAAAAAAAATTACCATTTTTCTCCTGTCAACAGGGCTCTTTCATTCTAGTTGCCTTTCCCTTTTATTTATTTCTTTTTTTTTTTTTTTTCAAGAAAAGAAAAAGAAAAATCCAGAGAGGGCAACAGCCCAGAGAAAATAAATAATATATAAACGGAGGGAGATCAGATATTGCTGTATCAGTGAGGAACAGCCGGTATTACGCACGTAAGAACGGATTTTTTTTCCCCCCTCCTTCCCTCCCTTCTTTTTAATAAACTCTCAGTATCCACACAACGTCTTTAAGAAAATGAAATCCTTTTGCTGTGGGCCACGGCGCTGGAAGAAATAGTCCCCAGCGCTGTTATCAGCGCTTTCAAGCTTTAACTCTGAATCAAAGGCGACAATTAATAAAGTCGCCCCCGCCAGGAATGGAAAGGAGGAAAGCTAAATATTTGAAACTGGGTGAACAAATGTCAGGGTGTTTTTAAATAAAATCCTTTTACAGTTATCACAGCGAGCAGACCTGATATCCCTGTCTAATTCAATTTCAATTTGCGCCCCATGGGAGATAGGGAAGAAAAGGTTGCAATGCTGTCTTTGGGTTGATATGTTCTTTTCTCCTTCAGGAAGCAGGCACGAGAGAGGAAGGGGAGGAGGGCGAGGGGAGAGAGGAGGAGGATTCAAATACCAATAGAATATGATTTTTTTTTTTTCCAGCTGGATCCTTCCAGAAGGCAGATGTGATGTGGGGAATGTTGAAACGCTGATTTGTTGTGAATTCACCTGGAAAACGGAGCCGAGGAGGGAAGTGCAGCGAGGCTGTTTGTGTGGGAATAAATATTCCTGGTGGGGGAGCAGAACTCACCAAGTGTTGATGCCAAGAGCAACACACACTCCTGAGGCATCTTTCCCCTCCAAAAACCTGCAAACCAGCCAACTGCACCAATTATCCCGAGCTCCATGGAGAGCCTGGCAGGTGCTCCTACCCTGTCCCCCTCACTCCTTGTTTAGATCAAGATGCTCCTTTATTCCAGCACATTAATGTGCTCTTTAATAAAAACAACCCCCCCCAGCCTTATGTATCAATAAAATTATTAACAAACTGCTCGGAAGAATCATGGAATGGTTTGGGTGGAAAGGGACCTGAAAGCTGATCCAGTTCCATGGGCAGGGACACCTTCCACTACCCCAGCTTGTTCCAAGCTCCATCCAAGCTGGCCTTGGGCACTTCCAGGGATCCAGGGTCAGCCAGAGCTTCTCTGGGCACCTGTGCCAGGGCCTGCCCACCCTCACAGGGAAGAATTCCTTCCCCATATCCCATCCATCCCTGCCCTCTGGCAGTGGGCAGCCATTTCTCCCTCTCCTGGCACTATCTGTCCGTATAAAAAGTCCTTTTCTCTCCTTTTCCCAAGGCATTGGAAGGCTGCAATGAGTTCTCCTTGGAGCATTCCCATCAGGAGACAGAGCTTTCCACACAACAACTGGATTTCACTGGCCAGAGACACAAACTCTGTTTTCCTGGCTGCACTTGTTCCACCTGAAACAGCTCCTGGCCCTTCCCTTGCTCCTCAAATTGAAACAACCACTGCCCTGGGAGCAAACCCAGCACGGGAAGAGCTTGACCCTTCAGCTTTGTGCTGAAGTTCAGATCTCCCAAGCCTTTGTTTCCTTCGGCTCCTGAGAAGAAGGAGCAACGAGAGAATTTGAAGCAGCTTTCCCACATTTTACAGCTAGTTGGAGTGCACAGGACGGGGATGAGCAGTTAAAACTCCTCCAGAGGATGGTGAAGCTACAGCAAGGTACAGAAAAAAAAAAAGCCAAAAATGTAGTGGTGGACACAAGTCTCTCACCTGTGGTCAGGGCTGCTGAGGGAGCAGTGCTGGAGCCTCGAAGGCAAGAACACAAGCAGAAAACACAGGTGAGTTTCTATCACAGTTACTGAGCAGCAGCAGCAGCAGATAAGGAGGATTTAAAGTTCAGCATGTGCTTAAGGGTGATACTGGCATGGTGGAGGAGGGATTTTGGGTGCATCTCAAAATCTGGGAGCTCCAGGCACAGCTCAGCTGCCCAGCCCACCCTGCACACACAGCTCTGCACAGCAAATGCCTCTTCCCAGGAATTCAAGCAGCAGCTCCCAAAAACTACCTGGGAGAGGGGTCCCAGGCAGGCAGAAAAGAAGCAGGCACAAGGATTTCTCTCTCCTCCTGTTCTTAATTATCCTCAGAGTTACTACAATGGAAAGAATTTTTAAATTTGGGCATTTTCTTGTCCCCATTTATAATGCATGTTTACTTTTAGCACATTATTTAGTTTGGACCCAGCAAACAAAACACTCAGCTGCAGTTTCATGTTCTCCTTTGCTAGCCCAGGGCTGTTGTACTTGGCTTGCAAAAGCTTTATGGAAATGTTTAAATTTAAACAAAAAGACTGTTTTCATTTCAAATTAGAAAAATAATAAACCATCCTTGGTAGGTTTGGTGAACTCTCGAAAAATAATGAAACCAAACCACCCTCCTGCCCTCAGCTGCAGATCTGAGCTGCCTCATGGTCCCTCCTAAATGTAAATGATAAATTATCATTAGCCTGCCTCAATTAAACCACCCCAATGGAATGCAACTTCCACAAATGTTTTATTTATGACCAGTTTGCAGGCTGGAGCACGGTGCCCAGTTAATGAAGGATCACTTTCTGCAGGGCTCAGAGATGCTCACCAGGGGGAGGGGGCTGTGCTGTCCCTGTGATCCTGCAGCAGGATTGATTGCATCCTTCTGTAATGAGAGCTGGGACAAGGGGGGCTGGCAGTGCCACTGGGGGGTTATTTTGAAGTGATCATATCTGCATTTGTGTGCAGGCAGCACAGAGCAATAATGTGGTGTCTAAACCTCCCTGAGTGGAACTTTCATCAAGCACCAAAGTGAGAGATGTGAGGGTCAAACCACCCAGTACCTCAGAGCACGGAGAGTGTGGGGAACAAATTCCTGCTCTTTACACACCAATTTGTTCCAACACATGAAAAATATCGAGGTCCAAAAGAGTAAAGGGTTTAAAAAGATCAGAAAAACAAGAGCAGACCCTGGCTGCTCACAGCAAAGTTGAGCACAGACCCTTTAAATGCAAATTTGGAATAAAATGGCACCATTATCTGGGGCAGCAGCAGCTCCTTATTCACACAAACACCTGGACTTGGGGCACAGTAAAAGTGTGAAGCAAAGCCCCCTGAGCTCAGCAAGGAGCTCTGCACTCCCTGTAGCCCCCCAGGGCTGTGTGAAGTGCCCAGGGCACAGACTCACCCCTCCTGCAGGGATGTGGCCGGGCCACCAGGCGATGGCCGGCTCCCTCATGCCACCCTCGAAGGTGGTTTGTTTGCCACACAGGAAAGGCCCATTGCTTCCTCCTAGGGACAGAAAAGAAGCTTTAAAACCCCACAAAACACCAGCATTTCAAAAAGACACTGTCATCCAGGCTGCTTTGAAATGAATTGTCATTTCTGCATGGATGCTTTTTCAAACAATACAGCCAGAGTTGGGTTTTTTGTCATTATTTCCTTGTTTGCTGTGTCGTGATTTTGTTGTGGTTTTTTTTCAATATACATTTGTGATGAAATTTTAGGAGTGTCTTTTCAGCACATGGAGAAAGTGACAGATAAACACACCTTGCCATCAACAACCAAATGAAAAACAAACCCCAAACAAACAGGAAATACCTCACTGGTGTTTGCCTTCTCTCTAAGGGTGTTAACTGCTGTCTGTAACCAAAGGAAATCTGACACTTTCAGGCAGAAATAGCATTTTTTCATCATGATTTTAAATTTTACAGTACCAGAATATTAGATGAAGGTATAAGAGTGAGAAAAATAATCCTGCATTCCCTGAATGGTCACTCTCAGAGATGGCCAGGGCTTTGCAGGAATATTTGGAGTTTTAACCCAACCTTGGAGCTCAGCTGGCCAAGGAACAACCAGGGAGGTCTCATAACTGATTCCAGGTCACACAAAGTCAAGGCAGTGGCTGAGCTGAAATCAGAACTGAGGTTGCTCCCTGCTCTGTGGTTCAATAACCACAAGCCAAGCCTGGCTCCAAAGAGAAGAGAGCAGGTTCTAAAATCAATTTGCAGTGACTTGTTTCAGAGAAACCATCATTTAAACAAAAGAAAATTTGTTAGGTAACAAAAATAGTTTCTCTTCTTGATATTTTTCATGAGAGCTAAAGAATGAAGGACTCTTGAACTCTCTCTAATTGCAGAGAAGGCTGAAATATGCATTTGGCAGACAGAGAGTAAACACCCTGCTAAGTTACTGAGCCTGGTTCTCAATAAATTACAGAATATTCCCTCCCTGACAGTGCAAATACACACAGGTAACAGCAACACTGGGGCATGAAAAATTCCATTTGGCCAAGGACACCTCCTCCAACAGTGACCAGAAGCACTGAACATAAATTATTCCAAACATAAATACTCTTGTCTTTTGAGGCTTCTCCTAACTCATAACACAGACCCCCCACACAGGGGTTTTTTCTCCTTAGAGAGAGAGAGATTTAAGATCTAAGAGAGATTTCCCAAGGCCAGGTTTGTTGAGTTGAGCCTCACCTTGTTCGGGAGCTGAAATGAGAGCAGCCCCGTTATCAGAGGTGAAAAACACAAAGGTGTTCTCACTGATCCCCAGCTGCTGGAGGTGCTTCAGGATTTTCCCAATGCTGTCATCGATTTCCCGCACAGCATCCCCATACCTGAGGCAAAAGGAGATGCAAAACACTTAAAGCAGCGAAAAAAAAAAGGGTCAGCACAACGTTCAGTGGATTTAATTTGTACCTGTGCTGCAGAAATCCTTCTCATGCATCAGGTTTTCTGCTGCCCCTGCAAACTTTTGTGTCTCTGGCCTGCAGAGAGCAGCCCCTCTGGGGTATTGAGGGTCAGGGCTTGGACAGAGAAATTGAGCCATAAAATTCACAAACAGAGGCAAACCCACCTTGTCACACACTGGGAGGCAGTAACATGGCTTTCCTTATGGTTAGAAACTTTTTGAAGCAACACTCCCAGCGTCTACAGAGCTCTTTGCCTCCTCCAAACTGCATTTTTAGGAGTGCTTTTCTATTTGCTGGTCTGATTTACAGGCTTTTAAAACAGGCACTAATGATACAAAAGCCACAGACAGCATTTCATTCCTCACACAACCAGCAAAGGAGCTTAGAGCCCCCCTCTTCCCCCTGGGGTCACGTGAGCTTCAGTTCAGATTAAAGCCAAATAATGAAAGAACAATCCAAGCAAATAATGCATTTCAGCACACACACACTTGAGGAGTGATCCATCCCCTTGGATCTACCAACCACTGCTCAGGTTGGCTGCTCCAGCTGCAGGAGGCATTCATTAAAACAACCCCAAAACCAACATCCCCAAAAGCAGAACTTACAGCCCTCTCTGACTCGTGCCCAGGAACTGTTTGGAGGCATAAACAGGAGCGTGGGTAGCATCAATTGCCCAGTATAAAAAAAATGGTTGCTGGCTGGCCTGCTGCTTGCTAATAAAATCCAGAGCTTCCTGTAAACAGCAATAAAAATGAATTTATCCTCTGCTGTCGAAATTTCTCAAAAAAAAATAAATTAAAAAGCATGAAGTCACCTTGGCTTAGAAGCCAGTACTAAAATAGTACCTGCAGGTAGAGCTGAGTCAAGTTGGCTTCACCTGTCTTCAGATCAATTTTGAAATCTTCATAGTATCTTAAGATAAAAGGAATCAGAGAGGGGAAAAAAATCAATCCTAAGGAATAAACATCACAAAAAGGCTTTTTTTCCCCTTTTATGGATTTTTTTCTGCTGTGTAAGGAGGTCACAAACAAGACACAGTTAACACTCAGCAAATCCTCTTCAATATTAAAAATATGTCACCATAATTGTTCTTACGGGAGAAAGCGGTGACACAGCTTGATCCAAATTAATGACTTCAAGTTTTGGACAGACCTGAGGGACTGGCCTTTTGCTGTAAGGGGCAAAATGCTTAAAAATCCCATGGTGATTCATAAAGAGCTAGTTGAGATGTGAATAAAATTCCAGAAGTACACAACAACTTTCAGTGAGACAGAGAAATGCTGAAGCAGAACTTGGGCTGCTTTGGAAACATTATTTTAGAGGGATCTTCAGCCACCAGTAAAGCAGAGAAGGGCTGGGGAGTAACAGCAGTGAAATGAGACAACACCAGAGGGAAAAATGAATGGACAAGAAGGGCCCAAACTGCAGACTGGGAGTTATGCAAACACACAAAATGTTATTCCAAACAGGAAGAGAAGGAACAAAGAGGTCTTTCAGCACAGAATGGGAGCAGCTTCCAAGAGTGGAGTGAAAGGCTCACAGGAAGCCTTCAGGATGAGCAAACAGCTCTGGGAGGGCAGCTCCACATCCCTACACCATCCACATGACACTTCCAGGTTGGTCATGGTGTCGGATCTTTATTAAGCACAGAATTGTGGAATGGTCTGGGTTGGAAGGAACCCTGAAGCCCCTCCAGGTGTGCAATGCCAGCAGGGAGAGCCCAGACAATGCCAGTGGCAGGCAGGGAGCTGGGTTACCTGCCAACCATCTCCCAGTCCCTGTACACGGGGATGTTGGGGCGCTCTCTGTTGTCGTAGGGCCCAAAGTGGCAGTTTGGGGACCCAAACCACTCATGAAAGCCGTGCCTCAGTGGGTGGAACTGGGGCCGGTGCCCCAAGTGCCTGGGAACAAGAGCAACAGGTCAGAGTTGCAGTTCTGCAAAGCAGAAAAACCTCAGCTCATCAGAACAGCATGCAAGAACACAGTCTCTGCTTAAGAGATCAAAACTCAAAGCATTTCAATCACAAATTACTCCAGAGCAGTGTCTTGAGCTCTCTCACACTTGTTGCAAGCACAGGCATGCAGACTCACCCCAGTGCTCACTTATATTCCATTTTATTTACTCTCCAATCATTGTTTTCCACTTTTTCCTTCCACTGGTGTCTTCTCCCATGCTGCCTGATGATCAGCACTGATGGACTACACTGCCCCAAACCACTGCAGAAATGTATATAATGTTTTACTTGAGGATTCTGATCTATGACAAGTCCCTTTCATCCCACTGAGCTGTAAAAACACAAGGCACCATTCTATCCTCATTCCCTTTATGGAGCATTCACACTGCCAAAATGGTACAAAGAGACCTGAATGGAAATGAAATTAGGTTTTTGTGTGCACATGTGGACATAAACCATGTTTAGCTACTCCTGATGACAGCTCCTCTCTACTGTGCAGCTTGAAAATCCTCCATCCTTAACTTCCAGATGAAGCTCCTCTCTAATCTCCAGGTTTTGTACTGCAAATTCTACATTTCCTGCATTTATAGCACCCTGAAGACAGAGAATTCCCATCTTCTCTGTCTCTAAAGGGGATATTGCTATCTTAATGTTTATTTAATCATTCCATCTTCCCCTCACGAGCCTGGATCTGCCCCCTGTCCACTTTGTGTCATCCTCCTCTGCACCTTCTGAACAAAAAAGGCATAAAATGCATTCCCTTGGAATCAGAAAATGATCCTTGGAGTTACTCTGAGCTATTCCAAACTGAGTTATTACAGAAATAATCTTCATTTCAGCTATGATTACAGCTCAATGATGTAACTGCCACTGCAGGTCTGACCTGCAGAATTCCACCCTTTCCCCATTTGTAGATGTGGGAACACAAAATTATTCTTGGCTGTTTCTACAACAGGGGAGATGGAAAAACACCTTATTCTAATAAAGCCCTAAAAGAACTTAGAGAGACATTGAACAATGACTGAGATCCAGATCAGTCTCTGCATCTTACAGCACAAAAAACTGAGATTTAATGAATCACATTTCACACTGGTTGTGGGAAATACTTGACTTGCAAACTTATAATTAAACCATAGAATTTACTGTCACAGGACACCCTGGACAGTTTTTAGAAGGGATTATGAAACAATAAGAAAATTTTCTGCTGGAAAACCTCTGTGAGGCCAGGATGAGACTCCAATTTTACCTTGCATTTCTTTACACCTTTCCAGGGAGCAGGTATCACTCCCAGCCCTGTCCAGGGGAAATTTTTTGGATGCACAATAATGCCCTGCACATTCCTGCTTGGTCCTATTCCTGCTAACAGCTGCAGGTCCTTCCAGATTTGCTTCTTTTTTTTCCACAAAACTGGCACCAATCTGCATTTGCCTTGTTTATTCCTTTTCCCTGGGTGTATGAATTTCCATTTATTAGCACTGAACTGCAGCTGATTGCACCCAGCCCACTGAGCTGATCCTTCAGAGCCTTCACTCTCCTGCTTGGATTTCTGCTGATAAATAATTCACTGTCTTAGGGTTGCATTGCTTTCTTCCCAATTCCAGCAGGTGAATCCAACCACAATTGAAATTCACCCTCCTCCAACTTATTAATGAAACTGATAAAGAAATTCCTGTTACTTTCCACAGGAGTTTAGTTTATTAATAAAAACCCAACATATAGCAAGAGTCAAAGATAAAAACCATGTAGGTGCTCAAGGCAAATTCCAAGAGAATATCCTGGTGTTTTCTGATTAAATAAGTGGTGTGAGGTGTGGATAAAAGTACAGAGTTGAGGAGTTTATAAATACAAATACACATCCAAATAACACCCCATCAACTCTTTGTATGAAGATATATTAAGTATTTGTAAAGGGAACACTCAAGAATTGATCCCAGCAGGGGGAAGATCCATCACACTTTCCAAAGTTGGACATTTGAGCTTCAAAACAGTTTTGTTTCCCCTGTAATTCTGTTTTTTCTGCTGCTCCTTCCCAACACACACAGAGTGAAATCTCAAAGCAAGAGATCTCCAAATCAATTTACCATTTGCCAATGATCTTATTGGTGTAACCAGCTTTCTTCAGGAGCTCTGGAAGCAGCAATTCGGAATCTTGGATTCCTCCTACTATATCCTGTGGTGTGTAAGCTGTGGAAAACAAATCAAAACCATCCTTCTGACTCTTCAAAATATTACAGCAAACAGCTCATGTACTGAATCAGAAATAGCAATTAGCTTGGAGTCCCAGCAATGCCATTCCTTGGAAGTCCTCCCATGGGATGGGGAGAATAAATTGATCCAGGGAGACCAAAGGGAGATTTCCACCCACTGGTGAATGAGGGCAAATAATAAAGGGAGCTGCCACCCCAGAATGGAGGTGAGGTCCTTGAAAGGGAGATGTCATAGAAATTCAGGTTGTAAATTTGTTTTGTGTTTTCTAAAATGAAGGCAGCTCTCTCCTAAATCAAACAGCCAATAAAGGTGCTCAGACTACAAGAGCTGATATATTACAGATTGGACCTGATGATCCCAAAGGTCTTTTCCAACCTAATTCATTCTGTGATTCTGAAAGAAATTAAGAGTCTCTCTCAGCCCCTGAGGCTCTCAGGTGTGACTTTGCTCTGGGAATCAACCCCTGGCTGCTGGTTCTTGCCCAGCCATGTCCCAGCACATGGTATTTGTCACTCTGGGACCCAAATCAGCCCAGGGATCTTCCCTGGAAGCACCACAGGCACAAGGGATGGAAAACTCCTCTAAAACTGGGTAGAAATCTGCCTGCTGAACAGCCAGATCTCCCCTCTGGATATTAACACCCCCACCTTCACCAGACCACAACTCCCCTGCCCAGAGGAAATGATTCTCAGCCAGCAGAAACAAATGCCATCAAGCAGCCTGGTTTATCCTCTTAATTTGAGGAGATTTTCTGCTTGATGAGGAGGAAGCAATAAAATTCACACTTATTACCAGCACTTAACAGGGTTTGGTGGCACTCTGCAACATCCATGGGGAAGATCCCCTTTGTCCAAAGAGAAATTTCCTACAAGGCACAGAGGGAAATCAGGAGAGGAAGGGAGATCAGGAATGAGGCTCCTACCATTCCTGGCGTGTCCATTTGTGGTGTAAAAGCCATTCCTGACTGGGAGCCGGCCTGTCAGCAGTGCTGCCCTTGCTGCAAACAACACAAACATTTATTTATATCCATTCTCTGCTTAATATTCAGATTATTATAGGAGGACGAGGCCAGCACACTGACTGGAGTGTGTCAGTGTCCTCTTGTCACAGCCAGCCACTAAATCACTCACAGTCTCCCATGAGTCATGGGGAGAATCAGTTCTGATGCATCATTTGAGTTATTCCAGCTGAAATTTGGCCCCTTTATTAAATTTGCCACACTGAAGAGTCATTCCTTTGAATACTCAATGGAACAGCCCTTATATCTCAGTTATATATATATATATATATACGTATTATGTATATAAGAGGAAATCCTAGCATAAACTGATTAGATGCTCAAGGCTAAGCTTTCGAACTTGACTGAACAAAAATCATGAAATACAAAGAAAGAGCTGTCCAGCTTTGACAATAAAAGTCAAGTCCTGTCTGCAGGGAATATTTAAACAGATGTTTAACTTCAAGCATATGCAATGCCACCACTGGATTAGCAGGATTTCAGCATATTTTAAATGCCTTTTCTGAGCAAGGACATCATCAATACACTGGCAAGTGCTATCCTAAATGAGAGCCCAAATAAAAAGCCCCTGTTCTTCACTTCTGCTTCAGTTCTTGGCAGCTAATCAGGTTTGAGGGAAAAAAAGAAAGCAAAAAAAGATACCACCTCACATTAAAAAAAATAAGGAGGAAAATATCTGCCTCTCCCAGACCCAAATGTTCCTTTTATCTCTTGTCCCTGTCCCAAGAGGCTTGTGAGACACCAGGGTCAAAAGCAGGACACAAACTGCTGCCTTTCCTTTCATGAAAGTCTCACCAGAGCCAACAAAATCAGACCAAATATGCCCAGCAACAGTTCAGATCCTGCTTTGTTTAACCCAAAATGAGAAAGATGAAAAAAATGCAATGACTGGGACTGTAATACTGAACTGAAATGGTATAAAAATCCTTTAGCTGGACTGATCACTGAACCAGTGCTTTGTACAAACTGAAAACTGTCGGTTTTCCAATCCAAACATAAATAAAAAGGGAGCAAAATGCAAGATCAAAGCAGCAAATCCAATCTCTGGCCTGAGGGCAGTCACTGGTTTGGTTGTTAATTCATGTCAGAGGCTGGCAAACACCCCAAGCTCCTCAGAGGGAGATGTTTCTCATGCTTACGTGGTTCAAACTGCAGTTTACTTACAGGGAGAGCAGAGGGGGTTGGCAGTATAAAAATCCAGGAAAAGCATCCCTTCTGCAGCCATCTGGTCTAGGTTAGGGGTTTCCTTAGAAGGCTCTCCGAAAGCTCCCAAATCCCCCCAGCCCATCTGTAAAAGGAACACACCACAAGATGTCAAAGTCCCTTTCCACAAGAACATTTTTGGGCCCACGTAACACATTCACTGTGTCCCTTAATTTATAAATTCTAACAGTGCTCATCTCCCTACTCAGCACTTCACAAATGCGATGAAAATGATCTCTGCCAGCCCTGTGGAGCAGGGAACTCTTCCACTTTCCCCTGGAGGGTGGGAAATTGAGGCACACACAGGATTAAATGACCTATTAACAGGTATTAAAGCACTTGGAAGAAGCCCAGTGCCTTCACTCTTACTCAGAGGCCTGAAGCACACCCAGAGCAAGGAGGAAGAGGAAGTTTCACATGATTCACTCAGGGTTGTGCAGCTGCCATGTCTGAGCATTCAGTCCCTGCCCTGCTGTCTGTGCTGGAGACCAGGATTCCACCTCAGCCTCTGATCTATCCCTCTGCAGGACTGGAAACACAAGGAAAGGCCTGAACTCAGAAGCACTGCAGGAAAAGCAAGGAAGGGTTTTAAAAGTCAGAGGGATCTGCCAGAAGCATCACAAATCACTGTGTTTATCTGTAGCACTGTGGTTTCATCCTGTTCTTCCTCCTAATTCCAAGGGGTCACACACCAGGAGAACAATAAAATCCCATTAAAATCTGTGTTCACTGCTGAAAACCATTCCTGGGAAAAACACAGCTTCAGGCAGAAGGTTCTAGAAGGGAGCAGCTTAATGAGCCATTAGGTGCTGGGGATTCTGTTGTGCTTTAGAAAAGGTGAGAGGTTCCTTTGATCCAGGTGTGTGTCAGGTGAGCCAGGGATGCACAGGGTGGGATGCATCCAGATCCTCAGGAAACCACCTGGTGCCATCAGTTTGGAAAAGAAAATCGTTCCAGAGTTGCAGAGATGGTTTCTGAGTTAAGAAGCAATTAAATGTCTCTCCCTGACACTGGGATGAGGAATTAAAATGGATTCACCACCAACTTCTTGATTTTTCTTCATCATCAAGGAAGCAAGACAAAATAATCTCACATTGCTCTAATTCCAGAGTCCCAGGGGATCAAGGGGAAAAAAGCCCAGGGAGATGTATTTTTAATGAACATATGAAATAACTCAGTAGTTCACAGAAACTGCAGACTTGTGCCTAACCAACACTCCCAGAGTGGGAGATTCCCTGTCCCAGAGAGCTTTCTTCTGGAAAATTATAAATGTCAGCTTGGGAGGGGGAAATATTCCTGAAGGGAAAACTGAGATCACAAGATCACTGAGGTAGGAAAATATTCCAAGTTCAAGCTGTGCCCAGTGCCCACCTCATCCCCAGCCCAGAGCACTGAGTGCCACATCCAGTCCTTCCCTGGACACCTCCTGGGGTGGGGACTCCAAACCTCCCTGGGCAGCCCCTTCTAGAGACTGCCAGAGGCTCAGCTGGCTGGAAAAGCAGGGAATTATCCTGCTCAGGAATGTAGGAACAGCATGGAAACAACGGGCAGGATAAACTGGGAAGGGTTTGCCCACCCTTGTGAGCTCCTTGTGTAGTTTCAAACAGCAACAAACACATTTCCACCACAAACACACCTGGAAGGTGTCAGGAAATTATTAGGACAGAAGCAAACCAGGTAGATGGCAGCAACCCAAATGTGCTGGAAATTAATATAATTCCTTATCCATGTGGCTGGGGGTGCAAAATTAAAAATATTTTCAGATAGAAATAAATCTGAAATTATTTCTGCTCTTTAATAATTTACTGTCATTTTTTTCTTCCTAGTTCAGAGAGCCAAAATGAACAGAATTAGCAGAAAATGAGCAAATGAGCAGAATTAGCTAAGAAAGCAGACTTTTCTTCTTGCTTAGTTTTTCAGGAGCCACCAACTCCCTCCTTGTGACCAACAATCTTTAGTGTTGGAAGGGAGATCATCCAGCCCAAGGCAGGGGCACCTGGAGCAGGTGGCACAGGAACACGTCCAGGTGGGTTTGGAATGGCTCCAGACACCCCAGACCCTCCCTGGGCAGCTGTGCCAGGGCTCTGCCATCCCTGGGCAGCTGTGCCAGGGCTCTGCCACCCTCCATGGACAGAGCTTCGTCCTCACGTCGAGAGGGAATTCCTCGTGGTTTAGTTCGTGGCCATCGCTCCTGGTCCTGGACGGCGCTGGGAACAGCGTGGCACCGTCCTGTGCCAGCCCGTGGAGATATTTATAGGGATTGATGGGATCCCCTGTCAGCATTCCCTTCTCCAGCCGGGCCGTGCCCAGCTCCCGCAGCGCCTCCTCAGCAGGGCGATGCTCCAGACCCCTCACAGCCCGTCCCTCCACGTCCCATCCCCGCGGGGTGACTCCCCCGGGGCGACACCAGCCCCG